CTGCCCCCAGCTCACAGATGTTTGGGCAGGAAGTCTCAAACCTTCAGAGACACCTCTTCTGGGGAGGCCTCCAGGTTTGACTCCAGGCCACAGGGAGCATTTCTGTCTTTCCCACCCACACCACCACCTTCTCCAGGAGCTGAGACCCTCTGCCCAGGGAGGCCCAGAGAGCTGGGGGGACCCCAGCACACACTGCCCGGCCGGTGGCCCACGGCCCTTGCGCACATTCAAGCTCCCCGTGGAGCAGCCCTGGGGAGCAGGGAACAAAGGCTCTGGGGCCCCTGCAGGCTGAGAGGTGGGGTCTGCCCTAGACCCTCGGGCTGCCAGCGGGGCCCTGATGCACTCTCTTGGGTCCCCTCACGCTCAGGGACATTTATCAGACCGGTACAGTCTGCCAGACCGGAAATGCCCTCTGCTTCCTCTGCCCCCGCCCCAGACTGACACCCAGGCCCAGCCGGGCCTGTGGGGGAGGCGGGGACGACAGGGGCCATCCGCCCCCCCCCCCCCACCAAGAATGGGCCGTGCTCTCCAAACCCCACCCTCTCCGTCCCAGCCTGCGACTTTTTCTGGTTAACTGCCCCCGGGCAGAGGAGAGCAGGGTGAGACTGACTTCCACGAGGGGAAGCAGCTCAGCAAGCTCCCCCTCCCCCCACCCAGCGGGGCTGCTTTGGGGCGATTCAGGAGGGCTGCCCTCAAGCCCACCCACTCCTGTGACTCTCCCCACACTCATCACCCTCTCTGGGCCCTCCTGTGACACGACACCACCGGAGTGCCAGCTCTCCAAGGCCAGACTCCCTGCCAAGGGCCCTTTTGTGTCCACCTCCGCCAATCCCATCTCCAGTCCCCCGGGCCCCCAAGGCCGGGCTCCCCCAGCCCCCGCCGTCAGGCGCCCTGTGAGTCAGCTCCCGGTGAGCAGGGCACAAACTTCCTCCCTCCCAGGCCTCCCTGGGGACGCTTGGGGCAGCGGCAGCCTCCCCCTGGCCAGCCAGGGTGGGGGCCCACATCCGGGCTGGCCCCCAGAGGCTCCAGGCCTGGCTCGCAAGGAAGCCTGCAGCCCGGCCCCCCTCGCCGACCCCTGACAGGGTGGCGTGGGAGGAAAAATCCTCCAGCCATCTGCTCAGCTGCCGTGTTTCCGGCCTGGGCGAGCCGGGGACGCCGGCGGGAGGACCTGCTCTCCTGGGGAAGTGCCCTCTGCCCCTGCTGGGAGGAAGGACGCGGGGCTGAGCATCCAGTGGTGGCCGGGGGACCCTGGAGCCCTGACCGAGAGGAGAGCTGGTCACCCAGGCCTCAGGGCCGGAGCAAGCAGTATCCAGCTGTGGCCTTTGGACCCGCCTGGTTCCCAAGGGACCTCAGGCCCCCGGAAGCCAGGGAGCTGGGGTGCAGGGCTCCTGGGTCCAATTAGGCCTGACTCAGCTAGTGACCCCAGCTGAGTCACTTCCCCTGGGCGGCCTGCCCGCCTCAGTTTCCTCGGGGAGGAGGGGCAGCTGGGAACTCGCAACTGGCATTACACCTTTGGACTCCGCGAGGCGGCTTCTCCTGCCTGCCAGATGGAAGCAGCTTCCTGCCCCTCCCAGCCCCAAGCGCTGCACAACCAGGGCCCCCTAGGGACCCTCTCCCAGGGAACCTGGCGATTCAGTGCCAGCCCCTCCCGGGCATTAACAGCAGTCGCCCACGCTGACTGAGCGCTGACTGTGTGTGAGGCTCCGTACCTGCCTCTCCTCAGAACAACCTTGTTGTGAAGTCACCTGTACTCCCATGTCCTAGAGGAGGAGACCTGTTGCTCAGGGGGGTTAAGGGACAAGCCCAAGGTCACAGAGCCCCAGAAATTACCCCCAGCACTCTGCCAGGCTCACACGCTTAGAATATGAGCTCACATACAGGCTCACAGAACCTGGAGAGGCTGGGATTCTCCGCCCTCAATGGGCAGGTGAGGCCCAAGGGCGTCAGGTCACTTGCCCAAGGCCTCACAGCTACAGGCTGGCAGAGCCCATATTTGGCTTCAAAGCCCATGCTGCTGCCAGGGAGAACTGGCAACTTAACAGCAAAGGCCTCTCACTTAAATAATAATAATAATAATAATAATAATAATAATAATAATAACAACTATTATTATTAAGTGCCGGGCCCAGTACTAAGTGCTTTATGCACCCTGTCACTGCCACTCAAAGTGGGCGGGTGCCAGGACAGGCAGTGGGAGGGGCCTCCAGCCCCACCCCTTTCTGCCCAAAGAGAGGTTCCATCCAGGAGGTCCCGGGTGGCACCTTGGGACCCAGACATCCCAGGGGGCCCCCAGGCTGAGCTGCAGCAGGGCTCCCCATCCAGCACCTGCTGGTCTCAGGCAGAGTTTGACTTGTATTAGAAAGTTCTGTCAGCCCTGGCTGGCGTAGCTCAGTGGACTGAGCGCGGGCTGCGACCCAAAGTGTCGCAGGTTCGATTCCCAGTCAGGGCACATGCCTGGGTTGCAGGCCAGGGCCCCCAGCAACCGCACATTGATGTCTCTCTCTCTCCCTCTATCTCCCTCCCTTCCCTCTCTAAAACTAAATAAATAAAATCTTTAAAAAAAGAAAAAAAAAGTTCTGTCAGCCCTGGCTGGTGCAGCTCAGTGGACTGAGCGCCAGCCTGTGAACCGAAGGTGACCAGTTTGATTCCCAGACAGGGCACATGGTTGGGTTGCAGGCCAGGTCCCCAGTTGGGGGCCGGCAAGAGGCAACTGATCGATGTTTCTCTCCCTCTCTTTCTCCCTTCCTTCCCTTCTCTCCAAAAAATAAATAAAATAAAAGTTAAAAAAAATAAAGTTCTCCCTATCAGAGAAAGCTCATGCCCAGCGTCCAGAAGAGCGGGGAGGGGGAGGACCTGATAGGAGAACAAGCAGAGCTCACATCCGGGACAGACAGTATAATAACAATCTCATCATTATCGCCCCTCCTCCTCCTGGTCATGCGTTTGTAAACACTTGGTGAATTCACATATGTGTGGTCCCAAGGACGCTAAGAAGCAGGTACACTCCCATTTGACAGATGAGAAAACCGAGGCTGGTGTGGTTAAGCAAGGTCTCATAGCCAAGGAAGCACCATCTACACAACCTGCCTGAGTCTTCAGAATTCTTCTCCCCAAGACTCAGGGAGCCCGGAGCTGACCATGCAGGAGGTGCCCAAGGTGCCCACTAACAAACACTCCACAGACCGTAGCCAGTAACACTCGTGATGGCAACGGTAACATCGCCACCTCCACCTGTAACTGAACCCCTTCTCTGCCAGGCAGCAGGTGCTTCTCAGACACTGGCTCCTGAAGTCTCTACCACAAACCTGCTGTTACCCCATTTAACATAATGGGAAACTGAGGCTCACCGGTGTCACCACTTGCCCCCACCCTCAGCTGGAAAGGAGGCGGTGAGAGAATTGAATCTAAGCCTCCAGGACACTCCTCTGCCACTGCTGAGCCCCTGAAGGTCCTCAGTCCTGCCCCCTTCCCTGCCTCGGCCTCTGTAGCCCGCAGGGACTCCAACAAGTTCTAGGAATGTTCACCCTTTGGCTCAGAAGGGTTTTCCCTCCCCGAGGGGGGTTGTGGGAAAAGGCTCAGAAAAAGTGTATTAGAAACCCTTCCAGCTTCCCCAACAGGCCCTGGCCTCTCATTCACTGACCCCAGGCCGCCCAGGCGGCCTCTGCCTGCTCTCCCCCTATTAGGGCTGGGTCTCCAGCCCCCACAGGCTCTGAGGAGCCGCCAGAGCTGTTTCCGCTCGCTCTGGCGGCCAGGTCAGTGACGGGAAATCCAGACACGACTCGAGCCCACAGCCCTGGAGACCTATGCGCCCACCGCCCTGGCAGGGGCCCCGTGGCTGGGCTACAAGTGGGAATGCGGAATGGGCTGGCGGCCCCAGCTAAGCCTGGCAGCGGGTGGGTGTCAGGGGATGCTCACCTCCCAGGCAAAGGGGGCGCGGGTCTCAGCCCCTCCTGCCCCCAAAGCTGGACCATGGCCCTGCAGACATTGCATCGCCAGGCCCTTTGCTCTCAAGCCCCTGCCCACACCCCAATTTCACTTCCTCCCCCTAGGTCCGGCCTGGCCAGGCCCCTCCCTGGAGGCCCCCAGCTGCAGGCAGTGACCTCCTCACCTACATCATCGTGGCCCCGGGAATGGGGAAGAGAAACAGGGGAATGAGGAAACTAAAGAGAAAAAGCAGCAGCGGGACAGGCAAACGCAGTTCCTCAAATGCAGTCCCCATCATTCCAAAAGCCCTGGTGGCCGAAGGGAGGGAGGGGTTTCTTCACTGGGCATGGAAGGCCTCTGAAATACCCTCCCAGCCCTGCTGACCTATCAGTCCGATGTCCCGCACCCCACCCCACCCTTCCTTTGGTGGGAGAATTCCCCTGGAGCCCCAGGTCCTAGTTGTGAGGGTCCATGGCCAAAGAGACCTGGCCTCTAGGACCCCCTAAACCTTGTGAACCTCCAAATTCAGTGGCATGGGGGCATCTGACCCGGCTTACCTCCACAATGCAAGGAGTGGGGAGAGGGGCTTCCAAAATCGGGGTGCTACTCTCCTAGCCACATGGCCTGGCCGGGGAGAGGGAGTGAGCCGAGGCTGGAGGGCTCTCCTATTCTCACAGCCTCAGTTGGACCACTTTCACTTTCAAGGTACCTAGCAGTGACCCCCGACCCTTCCTCACCGATCACAAGTTGAGGGGGACTGCTGCCCTCAACGGGTTGGGCTGCTAAAGAGGCGGACTGGCAGTGTTGGCCATACCCTCTCGGTGTCTCCCTCGCCGCCTGGGCTACCCCCATTACATCCCCAGCACGTGTGTGGGTGGGGGTGTCACTGGGAGGGTGTCGCAGGCGCTGAAGAAGGGTCACCCCGGGAACGCCCCCATTCGAGTTAGCTACAGGACAACATTTCAGGCTGTCGTACGAGTGCGCAGACACTGAGCAGAACTGGACACGGGCCTCCTCTTCCCCCATTAAAGCCCTCCCGTCCCCGAGGACGCGAGCGCTTGGGAAGGCGAGCTTACCTGAGAGAGAGGGGGTCCGGGCCCGGCCGGCCCATGGCGTCGCGCGCCCCTGGCCCCACGAAATCCCGAGGGGGCGGGCGGGCCCCCGCCCCGGGCACGTTCCCTCTGCGCGCCGGCTCCTGGCTCTCGGCTCGCTCAAGCCGGGCTCAGGCAGGAAACCCGGGCTCGGAAAATGGCCAGCGTCTCATCATTTCCGCCGCCAGAGCTTGACAGCTGCGGGGGGATGCGCCCCCGGGCCGCCGCCGGGGAAACTTTGCTGCTGCTGCCGCCGTCGCCACCGCGGGCCGCGATAGTCCGGGCGGGCCGCCGGGCGGAGGCGGTGGCCCGAGCCCATGCCGCCCCGCGCCGTTATGTAAAGAGGAACCGGCTGAGAGAGCGCAGCCCGGCGGGGGAGGGCGGCCACGGCAGGGGCGGGGCCTGGGCGGGGCCTGGGCGGGGCTACACGAACTCCGCCCATGTCAACCGCGAGCCAGACTCAGCCCGAGGGGCTCGGGCCGGACCTGACCCCGCCCATCAACCGGCTTCTCCCTGGCTGGCCTGGTCTTAGCGTCTCCAACGCGGGCCGGCAACAGGAGGGGCTTTGTTAGGCCACGCCCACATCTCGCCCACCCGATTTCGCAACGCGCAGCCTAAAGAAGGGAATGAAAGGTCCGAGGGGCGGAGCAACTTTGGCCCCACCCACGTAGCGCCCGCAGACCACCAAGTTCCTCAGCCAGCGGGGGCGGGGTCAGATACTGAAGAGGCGGGGCATGGGCGGGGCATGGGCGGGGCGGGGCCGGGCCGGGCCCAGCTGCCTGGCCTCCAGGGGGCGCGCCCCAGCCGACTCCCTCCTTCTGGGCCTTATCTGCGCGCGCCCGGCTGTTCGGTGCAATAGAGACCGCAGCTTTCATCACCACCCGGGGAAGGATCCCAACCCCACCCGGCCTCGATAATCCGCGTCTCTGTTGAGCCTACCTGCCGCGACTCCAGCAGCCCCATTCTGATTCCGTCCGGACCCTCAGCTCTGCTCTTGCTTGCCTCGGCCCGTGCCTGTACAAACCGGCCTCTATAGGAGCCCTGGTCCCCCTACTCCAGGAAGCTCTCCAGGACCACTGGCTCCCATGTCCTCTGAGCCTCCTTCTATGCTCTCCCCAGGTCTACTTTCACTTTCTGTACAGGACTTACGTTGGGGAAGATTCACAATAGGTTCTCCCCTAGCCTAAGGTGGGGCGTAGTCTCAGCCAGCCCTTCCCCCAACGCATGGGAAGGAGAGGAGAGAGGAATGCCTACACTTGCCTCCCTCCCACACAAGAAACAAGTCGCTCCTGCCCCTAGCTCGCAGGGGCCACATCACCCCTTCCCAGACACCATACTCATTCCTCCATTCCACTGCCTCCCCCTCTTACTAGCCTTGGGCAAATGACTAGATTTCTCCATACCTCAATTTCCTCATCTGTGAAATGGAAACAATACAGGTACCCAGTCCCCTGGGTTCCGGGGAGGATTAAATGAGTTAATGCATTAAAGCAGTTAGCGTGGGCTTTGCCCAAGGGAAAACACTGCTACATGAGTCTTTCTGAAACTATCAAGCCTACTCCTGCCCTTGAGCTACAGGAAGGGGTTCCCCCAAAGGTGGGGATTTCCAGACTCCACCCAGATGGGAAGAGGGGGACCTTGGAGCCCTATAACCTTGAAGGAACTGGCCACAAACACGTGCTTTCTGCAAATATGTATTAAATACCTACTGTGTGTCAGGCACTGTTTTAGGTACTGAGGACACAGCGGTAAACAAGACAAACACCCCTTGCGCTCCTGGAGCTGACATTCTGGTGGGGGAAGAGCATGAAGAGGTGAGTGGGCTGCTGTGTTATGAAGATGACAAAACAGTTACCCATGGGTAGAGTGGGAAGAGGCTTAGGCTGGTGGCTCTGGGAGGACCTCTCCGAGGAGCTAACACTGGAGCTGAGGCCACACCTCCACCCCATCCCACTGCTAAAAGGATCCAGGCCTGACAAGGCTTGAGGGAAGGGCATTCCAGAGCAAAGGAACCGCAAGTGCAAAGGTCCTGAGGTGGGAATAAGCTTGGTGTGTTGAAGGAAAGTCAGGAAGGCAGCGATGATGGGAAAGATGGGAGAATGGAAAGGTGGGCCCGTCATATGGAGACTGCAAGGTCCTGGTGGTAAGTTTGGGAATTCTTTGAGGACAATAGGGAGCCACGGAGTGTTTGAGGAGGACCTGTTGAAGCTCAGCTCCTAACTTTGGGGTTTGGGCTGTTGGCAACCCACCAGGAGGCACCCCAGTTATGTTCGCACTCCATCTGAGGATGTGGAATGGGGGGTGGAGGGTGGGGAGGGGAAAGGTGTCAGGGAACGCTTAACTATTCACCCTGTATTATTATCTCGTTATTCCACTTGGGGAGACTGAGGCTCAGAGAGGGCACTTACTTGCCTGCAGAAAGACAGTGCCAGGCGATGCCAACAGAGCAGCCAGGTACACAGCCGTCGTCAAAGGGTCGCTGAAGTCTGCCAGCCACAAGCACTTTCCCTCTCACTGCCCAGACGGCTGTTCTGCTGACTTAAACGGAGACTTGTGGTTCTTCCCCTTTTTAATCACCGCACACGCCTTCTCTCGCGCCAGATTTCTCTGAGGCCCAGCGTGGTTTTCTCTCTCCCTGAAGTTCTTCTTCTCACCGGCGTCCCCCCCTCAGAGTCCAGCCTCTCGTTTCAGTGCTGCCTGTGACAGAGTCGTCTCACTTGCTGTGTCTGTCTTTCCTTAGAAAGGCAAAGGGTTACCAGGAATACCCCTTCTGTCTGCTTGCCTTGCCCTGGATTTGAGAGCATCGCGGCTTAGAGCAGCGATTTCATCTTCTCGGAGGCTGGCCGAGGGCGGCTCCTCCCACTCCGCAGGTCGCTGCTGGGCCCCAGCAACAGAAACAGGCTTGAATTCCCCCAAAAAGCAAGCAAGGCAGGCTGAGGAAGCTGCTCCCACCGCCCTTCCTTCCAATGGGCGAAGGCACCTGCTGCCTGCCAAGTTCCAGGGGCTGAAGACTCTCTGGATGGACAACAACAACAAAACAATAGTTGATGACAATATTAGTAAACACACTATTAATAGTAATATTAACAATAACAATAACAAAATGGAAGTTAAGCAGGGCAGGATTGATAATAAATGGGTTGATAACAATAAATATAATAATGTAACAATAGTTAATGAGTCTAATGAATAATAATAGGATTACAGGATTAATAGCAAATATAAAATAACAATAGGATATTAGTGGTAATAATAAATAGGATAATAACAGTTAACAGGCCTAGGATTACTAGTAATAATAGGAGCTAATGGTTACAGGATTAATAATAAACAATAAATATAACATAACAATAGGTTGGTAATAACATTAATAATAAATGTAATATAACAATACTATAGTCATAGTTAACAGTTCTAGGACTAACAACTCAGCACTTAGTTACAGGATTAATAATAAATATAATAATAATAATTAGCTGGGGCAGGATTAACAGTGACAGATATAACCCTATAATGATAATAATGAACAGATACGGGGTTAATAACATGACTAACAGTTTTTGCAGCTTGCCTGATGCCGGCACCCTCTACATTAGCACTGACAAGTGGAACTTTCTGTGCTGGTGGACATGTTTTACCTGGGCTGTTCAGGACGGTCACCAGCCATGTGAGGCTACTGAGCACTGGACGTGTGGTGAGTGTCACTGAGGAATTGCCTTTGTGACTTTATTTAATGCTAATGAATTGAAATTTAAATAGCCACACGAGGCTGGTGGCTACTGTACTGGACAGCCCAGCTCTGGACATTTTACACGATAACACATCTGATTCTCGCCGCAGCCCTGGAGCCGGTGCTGTCATTGTTGTCATTGTCCCCATGTTACGATAAGGAAACTGAGGCACTCAAAAGCGGAGTCATTAGCCCTGGGCAGAACCTCACCACACGTCAAGGCAGGAGGCCATTGTCTGAGGGGCCCTCTGATTAAGACGGAAGACTGGCCCTGACTGGGGTGGCTCAGTGGGTTTGCTGTCATCCTGTAGGCCGAAAGGTCACTGGTTCCATTCCCAGTCAGGGCACAGGCCTGGGTTATGGGCCAGGTGCCCAGTGGGGGCATGTGAGAGGCAACCCACCAATGTTTCTCTCTCACAGTAATGTTTCTCTCCCTCTCTTTCTCTCTTCCTTCCCCTCTCTCTAAAAATGAGTAAATAAAATTTAAAAAATAGAACGAAGAAAAAAAAAGAACGAAGGCTCTGGGGTCATCCAGACAGGTTTAGAATTCCATTCGGCCTCCTCCGAGCTGGGTGGTCACGTGGACTCTCTGGGCCTCAGTTTCCTCACCTGCACAATGGGGACAACACAGGGCTGACCTGCTTGGGTTGCAAGGGAGAATTTGATGGGAAATTTATGTTGAGGGCTTGGGTGTGTAGGTGGCACACCCACATAACACATGCTCGATGAACAATGTTGGTTTAATTTTATTTATTTATTTTAGAGAGAGGGGAAGGGAGGGAGAAAGAGAGGGAGAAAGCGCTGATCAGTTGCCTCTTGTACGCACTCCAACCAGGGACTGAACCCGCAACCCAGGCGTGCGCTGTGACTGGGAATAGAACCAGTGACCCTTTGTGACCCTCTGCTTTGCAGGATGACACCCAACCAACTGAGCCGTATCAGTCAGGGCTGAAGAATGTTGGCTGAATTTATAATTGGGTAGAAGAGTCAAGTCATATGTCCTTCAAGGAGTGTGAAGAGTGGTGGCCAGGGAGAGCAGCCCTGTGGGCGGTACGCCCCCACACCCATTTTACTGATGAGCACACTGAGGCTTGAGTGGACGGATTTGCCCAAGCTCCCTCAGCCGGTGAGTGGAGGCCACATCTGTACAAGACGCTTCCAGAAACTGGTCCTCTTCCTCCTGGGAATGAGGTCTGGGCCACTGGTAAGGAGGCCAGAGTGCCTAGTTTGTCCCCTAGCCGGGCAGGGGCTGGTAAGTGGACTGAACTTTGCTATCCCCCTAAAATTCAGGTGGATCTCCTAGTCCCCCAAGGTGACAGTGTTAGGAGGTGGGGCCTTTGGAAGGTGATGATGGGTCATGAGAGCAGAGTCCTAATGCACCAGGTTAATGCCCTTATAAAAGAGGCCCTAAAAAGGCCCTTCTCCGCTTCTGCCCTGTGAGGTTACAGCTGAAAGCGACCATCTCTGAGCCAAACAGCTGGCTCTCACCAGACACTGCATCGGCCGACCCCTTGGTCTTGGACTTCCAGGCTCCAGGAGTGTGAGACGTAAGTGTCTGTTGTTTCTAAACCACCCAGCCTATGTGGCGTTTTGCTACAGCAATAGGAACAGACTGAG